CCGGGCGTTGTGGCGGGCGCCTGTAGTCCCAGCTACTTGGGAGGCTGAGGCAGGAGACTTGCTTGAGTCCAGGAGTTGGAGGTTGCTGTGAGCTGAGGCCATGGCACTCTACCCAGGGGGATAGCTTGAGGCTCCGTCTCAAAAAATAAATAAATAAATAAATTTCAAGTTTTATGAAATCAAAGACATAAACAACTACTAATTTTACTAATCTAAATAAATACTTTTTTGGCCTATTGAGGTGACTCATGGCTATATAACCCCAGCACTCTGGGAGGACAGGTGGCGGATTGCCTGAGCTCAGGAGTTCAAGACCAGCCTGAGCAAGAATGAGACACTCATCTCTACTGAAAATAAAAAAACTAGCTGGGCGAAGTGGTGGGTGCTTATAGTCCCAGTTATTCAGCAGGCTGAGGCAGGAGGATCATTTGAGCCCCCAAGTTTGAGGGTGCTGGGAGCTAGGCTGCCACCATGACACTCTAGCCTGGGGCAACAGAGTGAGACTCTGCCTACCACCCTCTCTCCCCAAAAAACACTTTCTTGAATTAACTGAGGTATAATAAAATGTATGTACAAGTAGATTTTAAAATCTCCCTTCCCCCCATTTTATAGGAGATAAGACCTCACTCTGTCACCCAGGTTGGAGTGCTGTGGTGCAATCGTAGATCACTGCAGCCTCAAATCTCGAGGCTCAAATAATCCTCTCATCTCAGCCTCTTGAACTGCTGGAACTACAACTGTGACTCAGCATGCCAAGCTAATTATCTTCTCATGTTTTTAGAGGATAAGTATGCAACACTACCCACACTGGTCTCTAACTCCTGGAGTCAAGCTATTCTCCTGCCTCAACACTTCTAAACAGAAAAAAAATTCCATGTTTATAACCCATTAACTATTACCTCTTGAAGTAGTCTGAAAATAGCAAGATTTACAAAAGATAAATCAAAATGACTCAAAGTAAACACTAGGGAACAAAAGAACGATATATTACAAATTCCACTGATACATTTAAAATTTAACTTTCAGAATGTACAAAATACTAGCTATGCACAATAGCCAACAATCTTCTCATAGAATAAGAAACATCAGTATACCAGATTTTTCCCCATTTAAGTTTTTTTTTTTTCCAGACAGAGTCTCAAGCTGTCACCTTGGGTAGAGTGCCACGGCGTCACAGCTCACAGTAATCTCAAACTCTTAGGCTTAAGCGATTCTCTTGCCTCAGCCTCCTGAGCAGCTGGGACTACAGGCATCTGCCACAATGCCTAGCTATTTTTTGGTTGCAGTTGTCACTGTTGTCTAGCAGGCCCGAGCAAGGACCGAACCCACCACCTTCAATGTATGTGGCTGAAGGCTCCACTCACTAAACTACGGGCACTGAGCCAGATCGTTGTTATTATACTATTTTAATGAACAGTTACCCCAATGAAATGGTGTAACTATATTAAAAACTGTATTTAACTTATAGCTAAATCTGTTCCACAATTTAAAAGAGATTTGTGCTTCATGAATTATAAAAAACAGCTCAAATTAAAACAAATGCTGAGTGATTCCATATTATGGAATTAAAAACTTAATATAAACTGAGCATTAAGTAAGCTAAATAAGATGCAACACAGCCAGTCACAGTGGCTCATGCCTATAATCCCACTGCTTTGGGAGGCTGACATGCAAGGCTCAGTTGAGGCTAGGAGTTCAAGATCACCTGAACAACACAGGAAAACTTGGTATCTACACAAAATTGTTTTGGGGGACGGTCCCTGTGGCTCAAAGGAGTAGGGTGCCGGCCCCATATGCTGGAGGTGGTGGGTTCAAACCCAGCCCCTGCCAAATACTGGAAAAAAGAAAAAAAAAACTGTGTTTGTTTTGGCTTGACACCTGTGGCTCAAGCAGCTAAGGCACCAGCCACATACACCTGAGCTGGTGGGTTCGAATCTAGTCCAGGCCCGCCGAACAACAATGACAGCTGCAACCAAAAAATAACCAGGCGCTGTGGTGGGTACCTGTAGTCCCAGCTGCTTGGGAGGCGGAGGCAGAAGAATCACTTGAGCCCAGGAATTGGAGGTTGCTATCAGCTGTGATGCCACAGCTCTCTACCCAGGGCAAGAGCTTAAGGTTCTGTCTCAAAAAAAAAAAAGAAAGAAAGAAAGAAAAGAAAAGAAAAAAAAATTGTTTTTAAAATTAACTGGGGCTCAGCGCCTATAGCACAGTGGTTACAGCGCCAGCCACCTACACTGGGGTTTGCAGGTTCAAGCCCAGCTCAGGCTTGCTAAACAATAGCAACTACAATTTAAAAAAGAAAAATAGCCGAGTATCATGGTAGGCATCTGTAGTCCCAGCTACTTGGCAGGCTGAGGCAAACGAATCACTCAAGTCCAAGAGTTGGAGGTTGCTGTGACCAGTGATGCCACGGCATGCTACCAAGGGTGAGACACAGTGAGACTGTCTCAATAAATAAATAAATAAATAAAATAAAAGTCATCTGGGATGCCTATAATCCTAGCACTCTGGAAGTCAAGGCAGGTGGACAGCCTGAGTTCAGGTGTTCAAGACCAGCCCAAACAAGAGCAAGACCTCATCTCTAAAAAACAGCTGGGCACTGTGGCAGGTGCCTGTAGTCTCAGCTACTTGGGAGGCTGAGGCAAGAGAATTTTTGAACTCTTAGAGTTTGAGGTTGCTGTGAGCTATTATGCTACAGCACTCTATAAAGGCAACAAAATGTGACTCTGTCAAATAAATAAATAAATGTCAGCTGGGCACATAGTCCCAGCTACTTGGGAGGCTCTGGTGGAAGAATAATTTGTCTAGTAGTTCAAGGCTGCAATGAGCTATGATAGCACCAATGCACTTCAGCACTCCAGTTTGGGTACTAGAGTAAGACTATGTCTTTAAAAAAAAAAAAAATTCTGGGCTGGGCCTGTGGCTCAAAGGAGCAGGGTGCTGGCCCCATATGCTGGAGGTGGTGGGTTCAAACCCAGCCCTGGCCAAAAAAAAAAAAAAAAAAAAAAATTCTTAGAGCTTGCTTGAAAATGGATTTGGAATTACAGTTCTCTTATTGAGTACCAGTAATAGAATTCTCCAGATTAAAAAACTAATAGAACTGGCTAGGGAAGGGAGAGCTGCTAGAAACAGAGACAGGAGACTTAGGAACACCTACCATGTGCTGACTATTCTCCCATTCAACCCCTATCCCATCCACACTTCATGATAAAGAGGTTCTCCCCTAACACATACTTTCTGTTGTTCAACTAAAAGAAAAGCTCATGTTACCTAAGTAAAAGTGGAATGTTAAATTCTTCTTGATTAGTATTGTTAAACCTGAAGGGGCAGTAGAGTAGCAAAAATTGAGCTTTCCAGACCCAGCAAGATGCTGCTAAGTGTTAAATATCTGAAGGGCTGGCTTGGCGCCTATAGCTCAATGGGCTAAGGCACCAGCCACATACACCTAAGGTGGCGGGTTCGAATCCCCAGCCCGGACCCGCCAAACAACAATGACGGCTGCAACCAAAAAATAGC